ATAGAACTTTCACCCCCTGCATGAGAAGTGAGAAGTCTTAAGCACTGGATTGCCAGGGAAATTCCTCAGCTATTTTAAAGGTGACATTTCCAAAGGCCAGTTCAATCCCTTCTGCCAGGTGGCAGCAAATAGTTCTTACTGGACAAATAGTTCTTAATGGACAGCAAATAGTTCTTAATGGACACCAGGCACCTTGATAAATGAATCTACCTGAGATAGACACTCTGGAAACAGGAACTAAGGTAGGAGGTATTCACAGACAGCAAAGAGTCATTTCAAGTAATCTGACAGTAAGTTAAACTAAACAACCTACAGACAGACCACCACAACCACTCCAAGAGAAGCAATGTCTTAAAAAGACCCAAGTCCTTTCTATCTGCTACCCTAGACAAGGTAAGTAAACTCTAAGTAAAAGGCTCTATGTGTAACTTGTGAGTCTTTGTTCCCTAAGTGTGTAAACTATTCAATAATAATGTAGGGAAACAAGGGCTCTCATACACTTCTTATAGCAGTATAAGTTGGTAAAACTCTTGAAGGCAATTTAGTGATAAATTTCAGAAATCCTAAAGAAGGCATATAGCCTGTGACACAACAGTTCTATCTCTAGGACTCTTATTTCTGTGTAAGAAAATAATTGAACATGGGTGTGAAAATTACTGTTAGAAATTACATAACAGAATTAACTGTATGGCAATTCCCTGGTGGTCCAGTGGTTAAGACTCAGCACTTTCACTGCTGGGGGCAGGGTTTGATCCCTGGTTGGGGAACTATGCCTGGTGATGAAGCCAAAAAAATTTAAAAATAAAAAAAAGAAGGAAAATTAACTGTAATACTATTTAAACAGCTGAAAACTGAAAACTGTTAACTAGATATTTAATAGTAGAAGTTGGTTAAAGAATTTCTATTTATTGGTCAATACAATGGAACAGTAAGTAGCCATGAAAAATGACAGACTAAATGTTTATCGACATTTGCAGCAGGCTGTATTTTTGGTGCCAATTCTTTACCCCTCCCTATGTCCAGGCTCTTTGCCATTTAACTTTGCAGTGAGCTCCCACTGTGGATGGGGAAGTATCTACCCCTGACCTCAGACATATGTTACATTTGCATCATGTGATACAACCAGAAACTTCAAAAGCTCAAGCCTCACAGTTGTGTCTCTGCCATCAGTATGAGAAGAATATACTTAAATTAGTCCCCTGGTCCATGAGGATGACAGACATGCGGAGAAGAGCCCAGCCTAGATTAGCCGACTACAGCCAGCTGTTGATGCATGAATGAGCCCCGATGAAACCAACAGACTGTCTAGCCACATCCAACCTAGATGAGTTGACACCTAGCTGACTTACAGACGTACGAGTGAAGTAAATGTGTACTGTTGTTTTAAGCCGCTGAGTTTTGTTTTGTTTTTTTAAGCCGCTGAGTTTTGGAGTGCTTTGTCAAATAACATTTTTGAGGCAACAGTTAATTGATATATTTAAAAGTCTAAAAGGAAAATGGGGTGAAAATCTGGAAATATATACCTCTAATGCTAATCAACAGAGGATGAGATAGCTGGATGGCATCACCGACTCAATGGACATGAGTTTGAGCAAACTCTGCGAGACAGTGAAGGACAAGGAAGCCTGGCGAGCTGCAGTCCACGGGGTTGCAAAGAGTCGGACAAGACTTAGGGACTGCCCAACAACAACAAATCACATGTGTATCATTTTTCCCTCCAAAAACCTCACTGAAATGACAATAAAGCACTAAAAATTGTCTTAAATCACAAAAAATAGGAGAAGAGGTTATAGTAAAATAAATTTTAATACAATAGTAGAAACATTAAAAGCAGGAAGAGGAGGGGACTTCCCTGGTGGTCCAGTGGTTAGGAATCTGCCTTGCAATGCAGGAGATTTGGGTTCCATCCTGGTCAGGGACCTAAGATCCCATATGTGGCAGAGCAATTAAGCCTGTGGGCCAAAACTACTGAGCCTGCATGCTTCTGAGCCCTCGCACCACAACTAGAGAACCTGGTGCGGCAACAAAAGAGCCCACATGAAGCAAAAAATATCCCACATGCTTCAATTAAAACCTGATGCAGTCAAACAAATATTTTAAAAAATAAATAAAACAATATTAAGATGCATTAACAAAAACTATTTTTTTAAAGGAGGAGGAAGAGGAATAAATGAGCAATATGGAAGAGAAAACAACTTAATGGCCTGCAGAGAGAAATAATAATAAAAATCAGGCCAACTCACCCCATACCACTTCTGAGAAATCCAGCACCTTGAAGGTATCAGATACTATGGAAGGTGGGATAAGTTACAGAGATGAAAATCAAACTGAAAGGTTTTGTACAGACCAGCTAGAACCCCAGGTCTCATCTCAACTATGTGCAACCAGTCAGTTGACTACCTCTACACACCCTCATCCTTCATTTTACTCCACCCCCAGAGATTATAGTTCTGGAGAAAATTAACTAAAGAGGCACAGGTCGAGGGATATTAAACACAATAAAAAGCTAAAGAGAAGTGTGGACTGAAGAGTAGTAATGAGATTACATAGAAATATAAGTCAGAAAGAGAAAACCAAATACTGTCTATTAACACATACATATAGAATTTAGAAAAATGGTACTGATGAACCTATTTCACAAGGCAGGAATAACATGGAGAACAGACTTATGCACACAGCAGGGGAAGGAGAGGGTGAGACAAACTGAGAGAGTAGCACTGACATATATGCAGTACCATGTGTAAAACAGATAGCTAGTGGGAAGCTTCTGTATGACACAGGGAGCTCAGCTTCATGCTCTGTGATGACCTCGAGGGGTGGGTAGGAGGGAGGCTCAAGAGGGAGGGGATATATGCATACTTATAGCTAATTCATCCCTCGAGTACGAAACGGCAACCCACTCTAGTATTCTTGCTGGCGTATCCCAAGGACAGAGGAGCCTGGCTGGCTACAGTCCATGGGGCTGCAAAGAGTTGGACATGACTGAGTGACTGAGCACACACATAGCTGATACATGTTATTGTACAGTAGAAACAACACTGTAAAGAATTATCCTTCAATTAAAAAAAAAATCCATGTATTCCAACCAGCCACCTCCTCTGCAACTGCTCTCACAGTTGATCACATGAAGCCCCTACCCCACTGCAACTCCAACCCTGTTACCCTTCAGGGAACTGGAAGATTCCTCTGTGGAAAAACTAAATACATTCAGAGGAAAAGAAAACCTATAAATGATGACATTTAGGGATCCTCCCAACAAAAAAAGTCAGCCAGCTGTCTGACCTTGCTACAATGAGAATGATCCATCAACAAATCTTGCCCATGTACATAGTCTCAAATCAACAAGTTAGTATAATATCCTTAAATAATAAGCAGACAGCTAAGGATCACTATAAATAAGAGAAAATCTCCCCACATGAAAGATAGAGCTCAAGATAAACAGAAAAAAAAATAGGCAGCCATGGGTGGGGGGAAAGGGGGAGTCCAGGAAGACAAAGGGATCATGCTTAGAACAAACGGAAACTAAAAACAAAAACAAAACCAAGAAAACTCAGCTTAGAGAGAACACTGTGTGACAAAATAAGAATGATGCCTCAGAGAAACAACTGGAGACCAACAAAGAACTTAAAAGTATAAAATAAAAATTTAAAATTCCATGTAAGAGTCAAAAGATAAAAACAAGGAAGTATTCCAGAGAAAGAGGAAGGAAAAATGATAGGAAAAATCAACAGAAAATAAAACATGTAAATTAGATCAAAGCAGGGGGCCTGGATTTGATCCCCGGTCAGGAACTGAGATCCCACATGCTGTAAGACCTCACACACCACAACTGAAGAGTTCACACGGTGCAACGAAGATGGGTGACCCTGCATGCTACAACTAACTAAATAAATAAAAACAATTTAAAAAAAACCCACAAACAACAGATTCTCAATGTAGAGGAAGCGGTCTTCTTTCAGAAGATGCCATCCAGACTTTCACAGCTAGACGTGAGAAGTCAATGCCTGGCTTCAAAGGACAGGCTGACTCTCTTGTGCGGGGCTAATTTTTGTTTTAATCAATAAGCTATGTTTAAATGAAGCTATGTACATTGTTTTAGATATAATGTTATTGCATACTTAACAGAATATAGTATAATATAGACATAACTTTTATAGGTACTAGGAAACCAAAAAATTCCTGACTCACTTGATTGCAATATTTGCTTTATTGCTGTGATCTGGAACCAAACCCACAATATCTCTGAGGCATGTCTGTATTATTAGGCACTTGAAAGATCTAGCAGAGCAACTGGGGGAAAAAACAGTGATTGGTACAAAAGGATTAAGCACAGCAAAAACAGGCAAAAACTCTGCAATTAAAAAAAAAATAAAAAGGTTGTACAAGACAGAAAAAATAACCATAGTTACTACTTTTCCCAGTAGTGAATAACACCTATACTCTCATAAAATACAGGTACTAACTACTGATTTAATCAAAGCTGTGAGGGACTTCCCTGGTAGTCCAGTGGTTAAGATTCCACTTTTCCACTGCAGGGAGCACCATAAAAGAAACAGGTATCAAAGAGCTAAATTGTTATCTCCCATAATGAGACTCAACAACAGATAATGTCTAAAATTCATAATTCATCAAACAGCAACACTAGGTCTTATTTACAAACATGGAGATAGATACTAGCAAAAAAAAATTAGCTCCTTCAAAGACCTTGAACTAGGGGTGGGAAGAAGGATGCAGAGTGCCGCTGTTCTCGTTGTAAGGCTTTTAGAATTTCTTTGTTTTTGTTCAAACTATGCTAACAGTGACTCTCTGAGTGGTAGAATCAGGATGTTTTAATTTTTCTCTTGGCTTATCTTAAATTTCTATAATAATATTATACTACTTGTGTAGTTTTCAAAAATCTTTTTGAATGCTGTTTTTTGCTTTTAATCCACAGCATAAGTGTTACCAAAAACCTTGCACAAATCAGGAACTAAGGTTTGTTCTTTCCTTTGGGGCCTTACCTTTCATTGTGGCCAAAATGAAGAAAGCAATGAGGGTGTTGTTGATGGCGCCGGTAGACTTGGCAACACAAGACAAGATCGTGTAGGGATTTAAAAGATAGCTGGAGAAAAACACACATATCTGACATTAGTAATCCTGGTCAAAGGACCAGGGAGTCCTGGCCACCACAGACAGAAAGTTCTTGAGGTTTACTAAAAGCATACTTAAGGGAAGGCAACATCTTAGAAATGAGTTCTCCTAAGTAAAAGAGGATGGAGTGGGGTTGTGGCCAGTGAATAAAAGGCACTGAACATTTACTGCTTATTCTTTGCTATGTTATATGGGAAAACCATCATATTTCATCATCACAGAGATTCTAGAAAACAGCAATAACATTATTCCCATTTTGCAGATGAGAAAACCAAAACTCAGTAGTTAAGTAACAAGCTTAAGGTTTTACAAGCTAACAAATACATTCAAAATCGGATCTTTCCGGCTCTAAAGCCTACATTTTCTATTACTTCAGGCTTCAAAAATAATAAAAATTCTACTAATTCCCACAGAGCCATATATTTTAGGAATGGCTACAGTTGTCTCTGAAAAACAGGAAACTACTTTTTCCTCAATCAGGTTCCTAAACTGTAATACAGGTTACCCCCATTCAAGAGGTGAGAGTGGCTTAAGTTTAGTCCTCTTGGCAGTCAAGCTACATCCACCAAGCCAGACCCAAAGGACAAAATAACTGTCTGCTGAATTCAACAATAGGAGAATAGGAGAGCTGCACACAAGCCAGTGGCCACTGAACTGCACAGGACAGCTTGAACTTCCACTGGCAAGGAACTAATCTGAAACAGTCTTTTCCTGAGACGGGAAGGAATGAACTGAAAAAAATGAATTTGTAACAATGAACAGGGAAATCTTAACACAGACATAACTGTATTTTTGTTTATTTTTATCCTGTTTCCACAAAAGATCTGAAGTAGCTCAAATGAGAACAGATGATAAAAAGTGAGAGCAAAATTAAAATAAAAATAAAGAATTAAGACCAGGGAAAACATAAATAAAAGGAAAAAGCCAAGATCAGGGAAAGAAGAACAAATAGGTCTTCTACAGCATTGTAATAATCAGCTTTAAATCTGGCTCTGAGGAGTTTCCTGGCAGACACAGTGAAAAGGGAGAACAGTTACATAATTCTGATTATCAGATAGGAAGAAACATGCCAGTGTCTCAGGAAGAGATTATAATTGTTATTCACAAATAAAGACCTTAAATCCAATACCTCTCAGAGCTGTAAGATTATCAGTTCTAAAGCCAACAGCCCAGAAATTGTTAATTTTTTCTAGCAATTATAGATAGACTTATTACACAACCTTTAAAGAAATGACTGCTGCTATTACAAAACCACCCCCTGAGTCCATAAGGCATTCATAATGCTGCCAAACCTCTGTTTCTATTAGGTAGTTCCCACCAATATTTCTGAAATACATAGATATGAACTGATACCTCAAATGTGCTTGGTGGGAGGGGGGAAAATGCGATTTCTAAACAGCAGGTGATGCTCAAGAAGCAGCTACACAACCACCTATCTGGAATACTGAATAGGAGAGTCACTCACAAGGCAGAGGGCTGAATAAACTGTCCTCATAAGACCCCTTCTAAATCTGACATTCTAAGGTCATGTCTTTCCATGAGGAAACTGGTCTGCTTTGTTTACTGTGTATCCTTAGGAACAAGTACATTATTAACATTTACTATCAGTTGACTGAATGATTATTCCCATTTGCTACCTCAGCAACATAAACAGGAATAACCTGAAAGAATTAGAAGTTACAGGCAGCACTGGTACACCTAGAGAATTCTTTCACAGAACCTCCGTTCAGTAAGCTCTACTCTTCCATGCTCGTCACCCAGCTGGGATGGGTCTGTTTGGCACTTCAGTTCAGTTTTCTGAACTACAAATGGGGCAGTAAATTCTACACGAGACATAGGAGTTGCTTGGAATAACAGCTGCATGAAGGCCAGAATTTTGTCCAATCCATATATTACAACTGAAAAATTTTTTGTTGTTATTGTTTTTAGAAATACTGGTTACATGCAGGCTGGAACCCAGATCAGCATCGAGTGAAAAAGCATCTGTGAAGGGTTGATTGTGCGTGTGCCTGTGTGAGGCTTTGTCCCAACAGAGACAGAATGTCTCTGTCTCTTTTCCTGGCCAGAACCCCAGCTGTGCAACAGAACTATAGCAAACACTTGATGACTAAGACTCCAAATCTCCAAAAATACAACAAACAACATGAGAAAGTCTCATCAGATTTTCCTTGCATTTGCTGGCACTGAGCCCTGTTTGGTCAGAGGATACTTACAACATGGCCACTTTCAGAGGGATGTAACGCATTTCCATAGGGGTTCGGATGAGTTCAGCCACATCGGGGGCATACTGGTCTAGTTCTAGGAGGAGTTTCTGTTTTTTAAACTGAGAAAAAAAAAAAAAAAGGACAAAACATGAAACAAGTAGTAACTTCCCACTGATTTTAGATTGAAGACAAAAGGCCTTCCATGGCCCACGAGGCTTGCCTGGCCTGGCCCTACTTCTCCAGGCTCAGCTCACACCCACTCCCCACACCTCTCACTTTCTGGGTTCAAGCACCATGAACACGCCACCCTTCTCCTGTTCCCAGGCCTCTGTATTTAGCTGGAACGACCTCTTCTCTTTTCCCAGTTAACTGCCACACAATCTTTGAGCTCCCAGTTAAATCATCACTTCTTCAGGAAGGCACACTCTCCACCGCCCTAACCGTAAAAATCTCATAACAGTGTTTACGGCTAGAACTTTATTTATTTATGTGACTGACTAACATCTTTCTCCTTCAGTGACTGTAAGTTCCATGAAGGCAGGGACCATGTTTATTTGCCAATACCTGGCACAGTGAGCAAACAATAACTATTGAATGACTAACTGAATGAATGGCAAGTCAATTTTTAGTCATTTTCTTTTTTTTTTTTTAAGTTCTACCACTTTATTGCTACCAACCCATCTCCCTCCACCCTCGTGCACACATGCTCAGTCATGTAACCCCATGGACTGAAGCCTGCCAGGCTCCTCTGTCCATGGACTTTTCCATGCAACAATACTGGAGTGGGTTGCCATTTCCTTCTCCAATTTTTAGTAGTTTTCAAAAGATATCATTAGTCACCCAACGATTTCAAAGTTTCATCAAAGTGAAATATTTTCATGCGAAGTGGAATGACCCCTCCGAATGTCATGGTGTCCTGGGTTTTCTTCTGTGCTCTCCTATTTGAGTTGTTTTTATCTTTAGGCTGGCATTAGTGCTCTTTGATTTTCATTGCAGCATGCAAACTCTTAGTTGTGGTATGTGGGAACTAGTTCCCCAACCAGGGACTGAACTCACGCCCCCTGCATTGTGAGCTCAGCGTCTTAGCCACTGGACCACCAGCAAAGTCCTGTGAAGTTTTTGACTTCCACAGAGGAAGTGGGAAATCACCATGATGAAGAGAAGGAGAAGGGTTGGGTGTGGCTGGGCAGCTGGATAGTTAAGAGGCAATGAGATGGAGGTGGAAAGCTCTCGCCTTCCCTTGTGTGTGTCCCAACAAGTTCATGGGTGTGTTCTAGAATGAAAAAAAGTTAGGCAACCCTACTAGCAAACGTGGGTCAAACTACAGGTAGAAAAAGCCTCTGAGGGACTTCCTTGGTGGTCCAGTGGCTAAGATTCCGAGCTCCCAATGCAGAGGGCCCAAGTTCGATCCCTGGTCAGGGAACAAGATCCCACATGCCACAACTAAGACCTGGTGCAGGCAAATAAGTAAATAAATATTAAAAAGAAAAAGAAAAAAGCCTTTGAACCCCAAATTGGTACCTCTGCTGATTTAAGGATCTTAGTATAAAATCAATTCTGTAGCCTATTATAAAACAGTAATTCAGAGAAGCCAAAGTAGTGTGTGATTAAAGATTTAAGGATGAAAACACAGATGGCAACAGAATATATACTGCATTACACTATTTACATAAAGTTAAAAGCATGCAAAATAATACTATATTCTATTTAGGGATATTTACAAACGCAGAAAAAGTTAGGGCCATGTGTGGAAATGATAAACACTAAAATCAGAACAGTGGTAACTGGTGAGAAGGGGAGTAAGGCAATGAAAGTATCAGAGAGTCAACTACATGTGAAACATTTTACATTTTAAGCTGAAATAGGTTCAGAGTACATACTATTTTTTACATGTTTTCTCATGTATTGTATATTTAAATTTTAAAATTAAAAAAATAATAATTAAAAATTTTAAAAATTACATTAAAAAAAAATTTAAAGAGCCATCTTTCAGTTCAAAAGAAAATCTCAGGATCATCACAGGAACACAGGTAACCCCAGATTTCCTGCACAGGTTTAAGCTGAGGCTTAATCAGAAAACCTGAACAAACTTCAAAAGCCTCCCTTTGATCATCTCTGGGAGTCCAAGTTAAGTGGTGGGAATTATCATCAGTAGGATTTATGCTGCCATTCACAGCTGGGGTTATTTAATGGAAAGGGCAAAATGTAAACTAAGGTGCTTTTATCAGAGAAGGTGACTGGCTCAGCAAACAAAGCATTTCACGAAGACAGCTGCAGCAGGGGTGGAAGGACAGAGGCCCCACTAGCTGGGGTTCTGGAGTTCAACTGCAAAAAGAAGGCCACCTGGAGGGCAAGAGAGCCACAAAGACAGACTGTTAAAAGGAAACAGGGAGTTCACCCAGGAGCAGCCGGAGAGACAGGTGGGAATGCAGGCCCACTCCCCAGGCTGGAAGCCAGCCAGCAGGACAGTTAAAGAGAGGAGGCAGTTAAACAGGGATGTGGAGGCCCTGGGCAAAGGTGACAAGTGCCAAAAAGAAAAGAATACTTCCCTGTAACCCCAACCTTCCAAAATACTTTAAAACAGAAAGATTTTACGCAAGGAGAGTCTCCACTGGAGAAGGGTAGTCAGGTCACCAGTCCCCAGACACTCTGCTGGCTCTCTTTTCGTCTCCCCAGTCTCACCAGCACAGCTGCCATTATGCCTGGCCTCAGAGGCTCAATACTGACTCAGAGCCCTGATGCACAGACAAAATTCCTTTAAAACATCCCCATGCATCCCAGTTACAGACAGAAGAGTGGCTAAGAATATGAGGAAAACTAAACACACAAGAAAATATTAGAAGTATAAAAATAAATGGGGTTAAGGAGTACAATTTAAAATCCAAAGATAAGTATCAATATATTTCTAGATATATTGAACAGCCACAACAATGAGATATACAGCTATCACAGGAAAGATTAAAAGTGACCTAAAAATTAATTACCTGGATGTGTTACCTTAGTAATCATGAATCAGCTTTTCTATATATTTCAGCAGAATTAAATATTCTGAATTTTAATATAAATAAAAATTATATTTTTCTGAATTAATATTTTTCAGGGTGGAGTTTTCCTTCCCTTTTACCCACTACTCCATGCAGCCATTTCCTCGTTCCTTGGAAAATTGTTTTTTTCAAGGACATAATTCCCTTATTCCAAATAAAGAGATTTTTCTAATCACTGAAGCTGTGTCTAGCTTCACACTTTTGCATCCCCAAAACCTAGGGTGGAAGGTAGGGAATGAATTGTCCACCCCCACTATATTTTCAACTGCTAGCCTCAACACCTTTCAAATTCAGGAACCTACCCACCAAATTCACAACCATCTAAGCATATCAGAGGATAGAGGTTTTTATCACTCCCTATCAAACCACCTGAAGCTTTCTAACATAAATTCTGAATTCCAAATGAGCACAATATCAGCAGAGGACAGACTAGACCAACTTTGTTTTTGTCAAGCGAGGCAGATGTAAAATGTCATGTTAACCAACTGGTCACAATCAATCAACACCCATATTCCACATGCTGAAGCTGGAGATGGGGGTGGGAATGCAGTCTTCCCTCTCTGCACCCTAGTTTTCCAGGATGCATTTGGGTGCACATGGGCTTCCCTGGTGGCTCAGACGTTAAAGAACCTGTCTGCAAGGCAGGAGATCTGGGTTCGAGCCCTGAGTCAGGAAGAGCCCCTGGAGAAGGGAATGGCTACCACTCTAGAGGAGCATGGTGGTGGTCCACGGGGTGGCAAAGAGTTGGACCCAACTGAGCGACTAACACTCCTACTACTACAGCTTCATTACCAAGGATAAAAAGTCTCAAATTCCAGCAAGACTAGAATACCATCAGACTATATGATATGGGCCCATTCTGACAAAGTGGGAAAGATTTGGAATCAACAGTAGTATGTTAGTATCATCAAAATCTGTCATTTATTCAATAGGATGAGTTAAATTTTGACACACTACAAATGAAGACTTATTCTGACCAAGAAACCTAGTGTTCTAGTAGGCTGAAATCTGAGGATGTAGAAACAAAACTATTCCAAATTTTTAAATCAGTCTTGGTGATACCAGATAGCACACTCTGTCTTGGTGTGCTAAAAACCACAGTATTGACAATAACTCATTTAATTTTCTCTCTCCCTCTTTAAATCACACAAAGAAAAAAAAATCTATATGTTTCCATATAAAGTCAGAAATAACTAAGAACTGAATTAAAATTATTGGCCCTCTAAATTAAAAGTATCTCTTTTACTGACACTAAAGCCTGACTTTGTTAGGAAACTCACTGAAATTTAGTTTCATTATTTCCCCATAAGCTTCTCCTCCCATTAAAAATTGTTTTAATTGGAGTATATGATGATTGATCAGGGAAAAAAAAGGAATACATATGATGCTAGCATCTCTAATCAGCTTTCATTAAAACACATTTCAGTATTTTAATGAAACTGGTTGATTTATTAAAGAACACAGATGAATATCTGTTTCATCTAAGAACACAGATATGGTTTATTGTGTTCTTAGCTGAAAGCTACCAACCCTCCCTTAGATATTCACATATATCCCATATACATACAAACACACACACACACACTGGTGAGTATAGACATGGATCTATTTTCTATTTTTTCCTCCAGTGTTTTACACTAAAAGCTTTCAAACTATAGAAAAGTTGAAAGAACAATTCAATAAAACACCTAGAACTGTTAACACTTCCACATTTTATCTCTACACACACAGACAAAAACACACACCAGATGCATTTTTTTCCAAAACCATTTTAAATTAAGTCACAGATATCATGGCCCTTCACCCCTAAATATTTTAGCATGTAACTTCAAAGAATAAAGATTGGAGTTTACATACACAATCTATCTTGGGAGAAGAAAATAACTACTGCTATTTTATCTCTGAATTCCTCTGCTTAGAAATCTCATGCCCAGTTATTTCACCACTGGCCTTCCAGGGAATCCTGTTAAAGCACTCTGTGTGTGCTGTTGTGTCCGACTCTTTGAGACCTCATGGAGTATAGTCCTCCAGGCTTCTCTGCCCATGGAATTTTCCAGGCAAGAATACTGGAGTGGGCTGCTATTTCCTCCTCCAAAGGATCTTCCCAAGTCTTTGGGAATGACAGAACCTGAGTCTCCTGCATTAGCAGGTGAATTCTTTACCACTGAGCCACCTGGGAAGCCCTAAAGCACTCTACATTAGTCCCCAAATTTTTTCTGTTCTCTTCCAGCTTTCTTGAAATATAATTGACACATAACATTATATAAACTTAAGGTATACATGATGGTATAAGCTTAAGGCTATACATACATATTGCAAAATGATTATTACAATAAGGTTAGTTAACATGTCCATCACCTTACATAATTATGTGTGTGGGTGGGGGGAATGAAAGTACACTTAAAGTCTATTCTCTTAGCAACTTTCAACTAACAATATGATATTGTTAACTAAAGTTACTATGCTGCATAGTAGACCTCTGGAACATAATTATCTTGTATCTGGAAATTTGTACCCTTTGACCAACATCTCTACATTTCCCCCATCCCCAGCCCCTGGCAACCACCAATATGCTCTATCCTACGAATTCGACTTTTTTAGATTCCACATATAAATGACATTGCACAGTATTTGTCTTTCTCTGATTTATTTTACTTAGCAAAATGTCCTCAAGGTTCATCTACATTGTCACAAATGTTCCATCAGTTTAAGATGTATATTCCCTAGAATGTATTTCTTAATTCTTTATGGGGGTAATCAAGGACTCCTTGAGTGCTGGTAACAAATATGGACTTTCTTCTTAGAAAAAAAGGCATAGTGCACACACACACACACACACACACACAGTTTTTCACATTTCAAGGATGTCTGTAGACCCATTAAACCTGATAATGGACTCCAAATAAGAAATTTTAGTTTAGATATTTTAGATATTTTTAAAATATTTAAGATATTTTAGTTTAGATATTTTAAAAATCTCTCTAAGGTCTTAAATTCCAGAATTCAACAAGTTTATGTTATTGATGACCAGTGCACAGAAATGCAAACAGCTAAATCTGATTCTATTGCTTGATAACAGAAGTGAAAATGAACCATAAACAGACAATACCAATGGGGTGCAGCCTTCATTCACTACAGTCTAAATCCTCTCAGTGGCTCCCAGCCAATCAATGAGGACTGCAGCCAATTTTTAAAATAACTACATGAATAGTACACACAGTTAGTCTGTTAACTCTCTCAGAACCTAGGAAAATGAGAATGAACCCAATACACAATTCCCCTGGGCTATTACATACGGCTCTTAACAGGTATTTAATACATGTCAAATTTTCCAATTAAGATTATTCTCTGCAGAGTAACAGAAACTATATTGAGAATCCACTTTTACCTTGGACAGGCATAAGACAGTGAGTTAAAAGCTATATTCATTTCCCTTTAGAAAGAAAACCTGGTGAAAGCAATGGAGGATTTTTAAGGGTCTTAATTAATGTAACAGCAATTCAACTCCATTTGCTCCAGAAAGTCTGAACTTGGATAGGTAAGTAAATATTAAGCCACAAAGATTAAGCTGACCTTTCTGTAAGTAATTAGTAAAGCCGTCTCGTTGGTTTGGGTTTGGCCATTCCAGAGATGGTTGAACAAGCCAGAAGCTTCACTCCCACTTCTTAGGATTTTAAGGCAGTTGATCTTTCAGTACATGACCTTTGTCCCACCCACTGACTACTCACCACAACTTTATTGAAGTCCTGGATTGCAAAATACAGAGCAATGGCAGTGAGTGCATCAGTGATCTGTCAGAAGAAAGAGAAATGAGGAAATGAACCTACTAAGTGTAGGAGTAATGGAATGCCACCAGAATCGGTAGTTTTTGGATGGCAGTAGACTATCTAGTACTGAATTCTTATTATCAGGAAGAAAGTCAACCCTCACTTTGACCACAAAGATAAAGCCTTTTCAGGGAGATCTGAACCAGAAAACTCTGAGGATTAGGACCCACTGAGGCTTACATCAGTTTGGCGTCCCATATCTGTTCTGTAATTGCAAGGTATGTCAGATTTCTGTAAAAGGAAAATAATACCCATTGCTTTGCAGGGCTGACCCAGGTCAAGTGCTTAGCACACAGTATGTCCTCAATAAGCCACAGCCATTATAATTATAAAAGAAGACCTCAGTGGACCTCTTACTTGACCCAGATTTTCAACTCTAGATCAGGCAAGTGTTTCAAACCACTGCACTCAAAACACAGCCCCATTGTCTTAATTTTAAGGTTCTCGCCCTGAAAGTCTCATCTGGCCTATGTCCTCTTCACAGAATCCCTTGGCAGAATGCTTACAAAATTGGCGCCACAATTAAAGATAATCATAGAATCTTGAAGCTAGAAATTCAAGACTACAAAGTCCAGAAATGAAATTTTTAAAGTAGAATGAATTAGAACTGGGCAGATGTCAGAGACAACTCCTCACACATCCATTATACTATCACAGTCTTGTGAATTCACATTTAAAATAGCTTTTTGCTTTTATGTTCTGAGAAATTTCTAAGCTCCTGAAATAGACTTTTTTTTTCCTTAAAAACAAGAGGATAAAGGATTTTAAAAACACATACATATTGATTTTATGTATAAGGTTACTTACCATAAATACCAATTCAGCATAGTCAATCAGAAAATGAAAGAGGTATATTATTAATGGAGTCTGCAGGAGAAAAACAAACAAATTAAATCTTACTATTGCCAGTTTCCAGAGTAGTGTATAGGAAAGAGGCTATTCTGTCAAGAAAAATCTCTTCTTTGAATAATGTTCTATGCTAGTTTGCCAACATACATATAAGGGAGAATTATTTAGTATCACTTGAATCATCTTGTGCCACTGGAACTATCTGCTGAATTGACTAAAGAGAATAAACAAAATCCAGTATGTTTTAAATAGGCTTCCCTAGTGGCTCTGATGGTAAAGAATCTCCCTGCAATGCACGAGACCCAGTTCTATCTCTAGGTGAGGAAGATCCCCTGGAGAAGGAAAAGGCTACCCACTCCAGTATTCTTGCCTGAGGAATTCCAAAGACACGAGGAGCATGGTGGGCTACAGTCCATGGTTGCAGAGTCGGACATGACTGAGCAACAAATAATATGTGTTAAATACCTGTTGAAAAACTGTTTACACAGTAAAGGTATGAGACAAATTTTAGTTTTAAGACATACTATATAACAGCCAAGGGACACTCTAAAACAGAGCAGGATTACTGAACTCATACAATAAGATGGAAAATGCTTTCCCTTCTTCTGTTCTCTGAGATGTTCTATGTGATTAGTGTCATTCCCTCTTCAAACAGTTGGAAAAATAAACCACCGTATCAATCTGGGTTTTCTTTGAGAGATTTTAAGTTACAGATTCAATTTCTTTCACAGATAAAATGCTATTCAGATTCTTTTTTTTTCTTTGCCAATTTAAGTAAGTTGTGGTTTTCTAAGAATTTGTCCATTTCACATAAATTTTCAACTTTTCTGGCATAAAGTTGTTCATAATATTCTGTTAGTGCCTATAGTGCTCTGCCCTTTTTCATTCACAATATTGGTAATTGGAACCTTTTTTTATCTTAACAAATTTTGCCAGAGATTTCTTAATTTTATTAGTCTTTGAAACCACCAAATTTGGGCTTTAATGATTATTATACTTTTCTACTTCACTAATCTGTGGAAAATTCTGAATGAGATGGGAATACCAGACCACCTGACGTGTCTCTTGAGAAACCTGTATGCAGGTCAGGAAGCAACAGTTAGAACTGGACATGGAACAACAGACTGGTTCCAAATAGGAAAAGGAGTACATCAAGGCTGTATATTGTCACCCTGCTTATTTAACTTAAATGCAGAGTACATCATGAGAAACGCTGGGCTGGATGAAGCACAAGCTGGAATCAAGACTGCTGGGAGAAATATCAATAACCTGAGATATGCAGATAACACCACTCTTGTGGCAGAAAGCAAAGAAGAACTAAAGAGCCTCTTACGAAAGTGAAAGAGGAGACTGGAAAGTTGGCTTAAAGCTCAACATTCAGAAAACTAAGATCATGGCATCTGGTCCCATCACTTCATGGCAAATAAATGGGCAAACAGTGGAAACAGAGGCTGACTTTCTTTCTTTGACTCCAAATCACTGCAGATGGTGATTGCAGCCGTGAAATTAAAAGATGCTTACTCCTTGGGAGGAAAGTTATGACCAACCTAGACAGCATATTGAAAAGCAGAGACATTACTTTGCCAACAAAGGTCCATCTAGTCGAGGCTATAGTTTTTCCAGTAGTCATGTATGGATGTGAGAGTCGGACTATAAAGAAAGCTGAGTGCCAAAGAATTGATGCTTTTGAACTGTGGTGTTGGAGAAGACTCTTGAGAGTCCCTTGGACTGCAAGGAGATCCAACCAGTCCATCCTAAAGGAGATCAGTCCTGGGTGTTCATTGGAAGGACTGATGCTGAAGCTTAAACACCAATACTTTGGCCACCTGATGCAAAGAGCTGACTCATTTGAAAAGACCCTTATGCTGGGAAAGATTGAGGGCGGGAGGAGAAGGGGACAACAGAGGGTGAAATGGTTGGATGGCATCACCAACTCAATGGACATGAATTTGGGTAAACTCCGGGAGTTGGTGATGGACAGGGAGGCCTGGCGTGCTGCGGTTCATGGGGTCACAAAGAGTTGGACATGACTGAGCGACTGAACTGAACTGAACTTCACTAATCTCTAAACTTCACAATACACAATTCTTTCTTCAAACTTTTATGGGGATAATTGCTTTATCTTTCTCTAATGATACCCAGATCACTGATTTTAGATTTTCTTCCTTCCTAACGTGGTCAACCCTCCAACAACATGGGGGTTAGTGGTACTGGCTCCCATGCAGTAAAAAATCTGAGTATAACTTTATAGTTGGCCCTCCATACCCATGGTTCGCCAGCCTCAAATTTAACCAACCTCAGATTGTGCAGTACTGCAGAATATATTTATTAGGAAAAAAAAATCTGCATATAAGTGAACCTACCTATGCAGTTCAAACCTATGTTGTTCAAGGGTCAATGTATATTCATTTAAAGCAATAAACTTTCCTCTGAGTACGGCTTTAGCTGTATCATACAAATTTTGATATGTTATTTTATCACCTTCAGTTTAAAATACTCAAATTTCCGCTGAGATTTTTTTTTTGAGACTAAAGTGTACAGTGTTTAATTTACAATTAAAGTTTTCTTTTTCTATTTTTGTAATATATTTACTATTATAGTCATAGAAAATACTATGTATTTTCAATGATTTCAATCATTTAAAATGTGTTGTGACTTGCTTTGTGGTCCACCATATGGTCAATTTTGGTAAGTGTTCCACACACCATTGAAAAGAATATGCATATTAACATTTTTTGGTGTGATATTTTATGGATGACATCTAGGTTGTTTGTTAAGCATTTGTTCAAATTGGCTATGTCCTTATTGATTTTCTGGTCTGTTTGTTATATCAGTGACTAAGACATTTATGTTAAAATCTCCCTCTATGACTGTGGATTTGTCTATGTTTTCTTTTAGTCATGTCACTCTTATAGATTTTGAAGCTATGTAGTTAGATGAATTTAAGTGTAGAATTACTATATCATCTGGGTGTTGATCTATTATTAAAAATAATTCTCTTTGCCTCTAACAAAGTTTTTTGTCTTAAAATGTTCTACCAGCTTCCACTCTGGGCAGTTTGTTTTGCCCTCTGACCGTTAGTTTCCTCAGCTATAAAACACATATAGTGACCTATTTCACATGGTTCTTGGACAATTAACTGGTAGTATTCACAAAGTACTCAGCATAGTGCCTAGCACACAGTAAACCTCAATATGTTAGCTACCTGAGATCAACTTTTTACCTCCTTTTGAAAATAGGGGCCTCAGCTTTGCCTTTCCAAGTTCTAAAAGAATTAAACTTTTACAACTATCTACTAATGGATTCTTTTTTGCATTTATCTTTGTCTGTAAGAGGTAGCAACCTGATATTTATATTACCAATGGCCTACTTTTGCAATGTTTTGATGCTTCACATAGTTTAGAATGGCACTAAATAGAACAGAACAAACTGTTCTCAAAAAGTCTATCAACATTGGGGCTTGTTTCCTTAATGAACTAACAAGTACATAGTAGTTAATTTAACTGCATATTCCAACTCCCCTCCCCACTTCTCACCTAAAGCCAACAAGGTCATTTCTTATTTCACTGAGAAAAGAGAAGCAAATTAAATGAGAACCACCTTATTTTCCCACTACCCAGTTGATCAATTTCCTCTATCTATAATTATACTCTCTACTTTTCTTGCATTAACAATGGAGGAAGTTCCATTCTTCCTATCTAAAACCAAATCCTCCACCTGTCAACTGGATCCCATTCCTTCCGACCTCCTCAAAGACATTGCTCATTTGATCTTGTTTCTTACATTCTCAACTTCTTATCCACAGAATTCTTCCCATCAGCATTCAAGTATGCAGATCTTCATATTTTAAAAATCTTCACAAGACATCTCTATCCAGCTACCATACCATTTCTCTGCCCTGCTTTAGAGTGAAACTCCTCAAAAAGGTTGTCTCTACTCTGTCTTTCCATATCTTTCACTCAATGTATGTCATTAAGTTGCTTGTCCCTATACGCCACTGAAATTACTACTGCTAAAGATCTCAATTTTGGCAAATTAATCATCAATTTTTAGTCTAAATTTTCTCAACTTTGAAATAGCATTTGACATCGTTTTTGTTGTTGTTTAGTAGCTAAGTCATGTCCAACTCTTTCCGACTCCATGGACGGTAGCCCAGTAGGCTCCTCTGTCCATGGGATTTTGCAGGAAAGAACACTGGAGTGGTTTGCCATTTCCTTCTCCAGGGAATCATTCCCAACCCAAGGATCAAACCCACGTCTCCTACTTGGCAGGCAGATTCTATACCACTGAGCTACCTAGTAAGTTCTGATATAGTTTTTACTCTTTCCTTAAAGCATTTAGCTTCCGTGGACTACATTATCTTGATTTTTCACCCTTTCAGCTCTATTTGCTAGTATCTCTTTCCCTTCCCAACCTTGATGTACTGGACAGTTCCAGGTCCTCAAATTCCTCTTTATGTATATTCACTCTCTAGGTATCTCAGTTATCTATTTCTGTGTAACAAATTATCCCAAAACTTAATAGCTTAAAACAGTATACATTTATTATCTCACACAGTGCCTGAGAGTCAGGAATCCGGGAATGGCTTAACTGGGTGGTTCTGGCACAGAGTCTCTCATGAGATTGCAGCCAAAATGTCAGCTAAGGCTGCAGTATCTAAAAGAGCTTAAATATCTGCTCCCAAGCTTACTCATTTGGGTGTTGACAAGATTCATTTCCTCAACACAAAGGCTTCCTTAAGGTTGGTAATGACATGGCTTCCCCCACAGAAAGCCTACAATGGAAGCTGTTAACTGGGTAGCTCTTGGAGAGATCATACCCTAAGACCAAAGGCCACTGCTACCTCCCTGAAACCCTGGATTGAGACCCTCACCTCCAGGTTGGCTACTCTACCTGAGACTCCACCTACTCTGACTGGGCTTACTACAAGGCCAATGTGAAGGCTGACTTGGCAGATGACTTTGGAAAGAAGTTTAATTCCTTGCAGGTTCCCATGTCGCAGCATAAATATACTATCCAGTTTGAGGCTAAAGAAAAAGATGCAAATACTGTGCTGAGTTCTGTCTCTCTCAAAGGCCAGGATTAAGGAATAGGAGACAGCTGGAAAGATGAAGAACACAGTTCCATTTTATCAGTAACCATTAAGAATTTGAATGAAGTCTTCCCAGAAACCAAATTAGACAAGAAGTATCCCAATTTGTCTTATACAAGAGGAAGCTCAGGCCCTCGTCTTACAAACTCTGGACATTAAAAACAAACAAACAAAAAAAAATTAAATAAAACAATTATATTAAAAGATAGATAAAGAGGAGGGGTAAAGGAGGAGAGAAATAGGTGAGGGAGATTAAGAAGCACAAACTTTCAGTTGAAAAATAAATGAGTCACAGGTCTGAAATGTATAGCATGGGGAACATGATTAGTAATCATGTAATGTGGTATTGGAGAAGACTCCCGAGAGTACCTTGGAGATCAAACCAGTCAATTCTAAAGGAAATTAGTCCTGAATATTTATTGGAAGGACTGATGCTGAAGCTGAAGCTCCTATACTTTGACCACCTGATGTGAAGAACTAACTCACTGGAAAAGACCCTGATGCTGGGAAAGATCAAAGGCAGGAGGAGAAGGGGACGACAGAGGATGAGATGGTTGGATGGCATCACCGACTCAATGGGACATAAGCTTGAGCAAGCTCCGGGAGTTGGTGATGGACTGGGAAGCCTGGCGTGCTGCAGTCCATGGGGTCGCAAAGAGTCAGACATGACTAGGTGACTGAACTGAACTGAATATCCTTGTATGTTGACAAATGACAGCTAGACTTATGGTGAGCACTTAAAAATGTATACAAATATGGAGCCACTATGTTATATACTAGGAACTAACACAGTGTTGCAGGTAAAATATACTTCAAAAAGAAACAAAAAAGATCAGAGTAGGAGGGAAAACTAGATAAAGATAGTCAAAAGGTACAAATTTTCAGTTATAAGATAAACAAGTTCTTTCTAAGGATGTAATGTACAATAAATAAGTAGCACTTCTGTAGTTACAAATGAAAGTTAAGACAGTAAATCCTAACAGTTTGCATCACAAGGGAAAAAAATTTCTATTTCATTAATGTTGTATCTGTAGTCATCATTTCATGATGTATAAAAGTTAAATCATTATGCTGTATAAAACTTACACAGTGTTGTATGTCAATTACATCTCAATAAAAGTGGAAAAGAAAAGATACAGAGATAGATAGGGAGATATAGAGATAGAAGAAAAATCCAAACTCCTAACCATGTCTACAAAAAGTCCTGTATCATCAGGCCCCTAATTTCTTGTAACTTATCTCTATTATTCTCCTTTGCTCATATTGCCTTAGCAACACTGACCATCTTTCTGCAACTCACAAATGCCAAACTCTTTCCCAAATCAGGGCCATCATATGGCTTGCTTGGTTCATTTAGATCTCTTATTCAAATTTCACTTCCTCAAGTGCCTTCCCTGAACACACTAATATAGTCATATATATGACCACCATTCTTTATCCTTTTACTCAGCTTTATTTTTCTATATATACTTACCATTTAAGGGAAATCACATTTTAAAAAATTTAGCTTTATGGAGGTATAATTGGTATAAAAAAGATATACAACTTGACATGTTCTGACCTATGTATACACCCATGAAAGCATTACCACAATCAAGATGGTGAACATATCTACCATTCCCAAATGTTCACCTATTTTACTGTTCATCCCAAAGAACCAACTATATTTCTGTGACTTTCCATACTTTCTGCTTCATTTGTTTCCACTCAGATCGTTATTATTCCTTTTATTCTGCTTACTTTTGAGTTATCTTCTTTTTCTAGTTTCTTAAGGTAGAAACTGAGGTCAATGATTTGAGACCTTTCTTCTTTTTCAATATAGGCATTTTACATCATAAATTGCCCACATATTTTGATAGGCTGTGTTTTCATTTTCATGCACTCAAAATATTAATTTCTCTTCTGATTTCTTCTTTGATCATAGTTTATTAAGGAATACGTTACTTAGCTTGCAAATCCTTGGGGATTTTCCAGGTATCTTTCTGGTATTAATTTTTCACTTGATTCCATTGTGGTCAGAGAATATATTTGTATGATGTTTTTAGATTTAGAGCCTGTTTTATTACTCAGAATATGATCTATCTTGCAAATACACACTTGAAGGGATTATGTGTTTTGCTGTTACTGGATGGAATGTCCAGTAAATGTCAATGAGGTCAAAATGGTTGGTGTATTGTTCAAGTTTTCTATATCCTTGTTGACTGTCTGCTTGTTCTATCAATCATTTACAGAGCGATACTGAAATCTCAGACTATAATTGGAGACCTGTCTATTTCTCCTTGCATTTCCACCCATCTTCATGGACTTTGAAACTCTATTAGGTGCATAAGCATCAGGACTGTTATATCTTCTTGATAAACTGACCCTTTCAGCATGATGAGATTATCTTCTTTATCCCTGGCAATATTCTTTGCTCTTTTTACTAACTTACTGTCTGTTTCTCTCAGAAATATGAGTATAATAATGCCAAGGACTGTGTCTTATTTTATACCCCTAGCATCTAGCAGGGTAACTGGCATTTGGTGTGTACTTAATAACTCTTTGTTAAAGGAAAGAGAGAAGGGAAGAAGGTTGGAATACATATGCAGATACAGAGCAAGGCACTAGGAATAAGTGATCAAAAGGTGCCAGAACACATTCTAAGCAACACATATCATAATGGGTAAAACAAGTACAGAGGCAGTTTCAAGAGTATGATATAAGTCATGAAAAGGATAAGCACAAGATGGTTTGAAAGATACAGGAGAAACATCTAACTTAGTCTAAGGTGATGAGGGATGGCTTCCTGGAGGAGGCAAAACCTAAGCTAATATCTGAACAGCATGGTCAACCACAAAATTAGAGAAGAATGGCCCTCTATAAAAAGACAACAGCATGAGCAAAGACATAGGTAAGAGAGAATATGGTCCTAGAGCATAATAAAACCATGTCAGAACTCTGTCAGGGGTTCCTATTCTGTCTAGAAAACATACTGCCCAAAGCACACAGTACACTGAGCTCTTCTGGCTGCTAGGCTTTGCTTATGTAAGCCCATACACTTCTGTTCCCAGTTTCTGAGTGGTGTGCTCATAAAGAGTCTCATAGACACTTCCCTTGTGGCTCAGATGGTAAAAGTGTCTGCCTACAATGCGGGAGACTGGGGTTCGATCCCTGGGTCGGGAAGATCCCCTGGAGAAGGAAATGGCAACCCACTACAGTATTCTTGCCTGGGAAATCCCATGGACAGAGGAGTCTGGTAGGCTACAGTCCATGGGGTCGCAAAGAGTCGGACACAACTGAACAGCTCCACTTTCACTTCCAAAGAGTCTCAAATTTTTCCTAACCTGTTTCTGCTAGCAGTTCTTGTTACTGAGGTTCAATTAGACAGTAATACAAAGATAATGAAGTATGAATACAAAACAGTTGTTATCTCCATGAGAACCATGTTGAATGCTTTAAAAAGACTAGACAGGAGAACCAAAAAACTGTTCTCAAAGTAGGTATGAGGGAGATAGTTGTAAAAACTAAGGACTAAATTGCCAAATTAGAAGATGTCTAAATGATCAAGCCAATAAAAAAGGGTGGGGGCTTTCCTGGCGGCTCAGTGGTAAGGAATTTGCATGCCAATGCAGGGGACATGGGTTCAATCCCTGGTCCTAGAAGACCCACATGCCACAGAGCAACTAAGCCTGTGCGCCACAAGTATTGGCCCTGTGCTCTAGAGCCCAGGAGCCACAACTACTGAGCCCACGTGCTATAACGACTGAAGCCCTCGGGCCTACAGCCCATGCTCCACAGCAAAAGAAGCCATCACAATGAAAAGCCCGAGAGCTACAACCAAGAGTAGCCCCTGCTCGCCAAGACAGAAAGCCCACGCAACAATGAAGACCCAGCAGACGCAAACATAAATTTTTTTTTAAAAAGGGGCGGGGGGAGAAGTGGCAAGACATGTGGTTGATGGAGTGAGTAGGGCCCTAGGGCCCATAGGGCTTTGCATGCACCCTAAGGTGCTTAGATTTTATCCTGAAATTAGTGCCAAGCAAGAGAGTGACAAAATCAGATTCACATTTCAGGAAGATGGCTCTGACTACAGAATAAAACAAAAAGGAGCAAGACTGAATGCAGAAGGACTTGTCAGGAAGCTCTTCTAGTAACCCAAATAAGAGATGATGGTGACCTAAGAGTGATTTTACTATTCTTAAGAACTAACTTCATGGGTTAAATGGCTTTGGTGGGCTTTCTAAGAAACCAACACTGCTGACACAGTTTTCATGGGAAAGCAAGTTCCAAAGAACAAATTACATGCCAATCAGCATATAACCTATTCATGAACTACGAACTGTTTGCAACTTATCTGCCAACAAAAATGGTAACTTCCACAGAAGTCTCATCTGCTTCCCCAAATTATAATCTAAATCTGGATCATTTCCACTGCAATTGTGAAACCCTCTTCTTAAGCAGAAGACATCTAAAAAGGGGCTGTTTCTAAATATGATTTTCAAAAATAGATCTTTTTAAATGTTTGTACAAAATAGAGGTTAGGTTTGGCATCTGTGACTATAAACTACTCTTAGTACCCAGAAAAGAAAGCAAAAACACTTACTTCATGAAATACTGCTCCAGAATAAGGAGACACTCCCAAGTCCAACAGTGAGAGGCCTTCAACCACTGAAAAGTAAGACATCCAAGTTCACTCTTACTTTAGAGACATATGCAGACTGGCCATAAACCAAAGTGCTAGATACTCCCAAGAACAAGAAGGGCTTCCCAATTTGTCTAACCCCCTTTTACCTCATTCCCAGCAAGTGATTTTAAGTCTTGATTTCAGATGATGGTGAACCTTCTTCCCTACTTAGCAACTCTTTTCATTGTGGGGCAACACTCATTATGAAAAAATTTTATATTAAACCTTAACATTCCTTCAATCTTCTTCTAACTTCCACCCATGCTAAAAAGGGTTTTGTCTGCAAATTCCCTGGTAGTCTGGTGGTATGGACTTGGCACTTTCCTGCCAGAGGCCCAGGTTCAATCCCTGGGCAGAAAACTAAGATTCTGCAAACCCCTGCCAAATAAATATATAACAAGTGTTTCACTTCTACATATTCTGTCCCATTGCAAAAAACAGCAAAATAACAAATCAGAAGCTGTGAGAAATATTTCCACAGAATAGGAAAATGGGCAGTCACTCTCACATGCTGACTGTTTGAGTGACATGTGTTATTAACTTTTCTACAAGCAACATGTATTTTTAAGTGTGTGCCTCCTGATCCAGAAACGATTGTTCTTAGGGTAGTTTATCCGGGGAAATAACTGGACAATTGCCCAAAGAAATATGTTCCTTATCATGCTCAGAGTACTAAAATATTAAAAATAAGCCCAAGTTTCAATAATGGATATTTATGTAAATGAATTAGGAAGTATATACATATATGAATGGGTGGATAGAGAAAAGCACTTTATAGTTAGAAATCACACTTTGCTATTAATAATTGAATAAATAAATAGGTAAAAGAGAAAACTCTTCCTTATAGAGAATTTAAGTGTCAAATGTAGAGGAAAGATGAAAATAGATAATAACCATTTGGCAGATCCCACAGTAATAATCAAGAAAGGCAAGTATCAATAATGGATACTAAAAATTAGTGGGTGAAAATATGACTGGAAACAGTATTTGCAAGGAGAAAAATAAAAACTTATGTGGGCAAACCTGGCATTCACTGTCTTTCTCAAGTGACCTACCTTAATATCACCAGTAATATGCTGACCAGTTAACATTATCAATATCAAGTTCCTCCTGACATGATTTATCATGATGGAGATAAAAAAACTTCTGTGGTGTTTATGCCAAAAATGTGGTTCTTACCAAAAAAACCATAACTTCAATCTCATCATGAGAAAACATGAAGAAAACCTAAACTGAGAGACAAAATAACTGGCCAACTCATTGGAAAAGACTCTGATGCTGGGAAAGATTGAAGGCAGGAGGAGAAGGGGATGACAGAGGACAAGATGATTGGATGGCATCACTGACTCAATGGACATGAGTTTGAGCAAGCTCCGGGTGATGGTGAAGGACAGGGAAGCCTGGCCTGCTACAGTCCATGGGGTCGCAAAGAGTTAGACACAACTGAGTGACTGAACAACAACATGAAGGAGGAAGCATCCCAGATAGGGAGACTAAGGATAGACAACAATTAAATGCAATATGGGATCATGATGGGATCTTGGACCAGAGAAAGGACATTGTGGAACAACTGGTAAAAATCCTGTAGGTTAGTTAATGGTATTATATCACTGTTAATTTTCTGGTTTAGGTCATTGTACTACGATTATGTAGGATAGTAGCAGGAGAAGAAGCTGGGTAAAGGGTGGTAGTGGTGATTCAGTCGCTATGTCTGACTGTTGTTATCCCATAGAGAGTAGCTTGCCAGGCTCCTCAGTCCATGGGATTTTCCAGGCAATAATAATGGAGTGCATTGCCATTCCCTTCTCCAGGGGATCTTCCTGAACCAGGGATCGAATCTGGGTCTCCTACATTGCAGGTGGATTCCTTACCATCTGAGTCACCAGAGAAGCTGTGGGATAATATTAAAACTCTAGCATTTAAAGTTTGAGAACATGAAAGGGGACTTCTGTGGTGCTGTTCTGTTTGTTGATCTAGGCGCTGGCTACATGGATGTAGACAGTTTGTAACAAATTCCTGGAGCTCTAAGTTTATTATACTTTAGAAAGAAAGTTCTTTAGAAAATCTTCAAACTCTGGCCCTAACCTCACCCCCATCCCATTACTCCCCTACTTCGGATACGTTCACTTCCTTCAACATTTTTTGATCCTGTTTATCTTCTACTTGGAATTTTCCTTTCTCTAATCTCCCTTTCCAAACTCTGCATCCTTCAAGAGTTAGCTCAAATTCCATAGCCTTAAGAAATTGGAAAAGGAGGGGACGCTTTCTTCAAGATCAAAACTCCAAGGAAGGAACTGGATGTACACAGGAAGTACACTTTCCACAAATGATTATAATTATCTATTTCTCCCATTAGCCTGTAGATCCTTTGGCCCAAATTCTGTCCCTTTAGTATAAAACAATGTTTGATGAAGAACTGCAAGGCCTAAGAAGACACAGTTGGAAAAACTTCCCTACAAGTCCCAGACGGAGAATAGGTTTCTAAGTACTCACTCATACTCTTCCCTCCCTTAGGTAAGATTGGCCCCCGCACTGGGGCTCCCCTCACACACCACCCCACACCCCAGGGAACATCATGTGCGAATTTCCCGCCAAATCCCACTCCAGCCAGGATGCACTTCCCTCATCCTGACCCTTCCTCAGATCACGCCTCTCAGCTCGAAACCCGTGTGGGACACACCCCCTCAGATCTCCACCCCGCAGGTGACCGGCCTGTAGGGCCCCAACCTCACCACTGCCCCACGCTCCCTCCTCCCAACAGCCCCGCTCTCCCGCCTTCTCTAAGTACGCCTTGAGTGGGTCAGTTCCCTCAGAATCTTGAGCTTGCGACCAATGCCCCCGCCTTCCATTCACAGAGGCCAGGAGCGCACAGGCGGGACCTGACCGCCTACTCGAGCCGGTGGCCTCACCTCTCTTCCAGGAGCTCAGTGGGGACACCACCTCCACCCGCTCCGAGATGAACTCGGCCAGACTGGAGCGGAACAAGGCCGCCCGCACGGTCACGGCCACCACCAGCACCAGGGCCAAGGGAGCCGCCATGATAGCTGGGGCGGGCGCGCAGGCTGGGAGGGAAAGGCGAGTCGGAAGAGCCTGGGCCTGCGCACCGCCCCCTGTAGTTCCGCGGTCCGGCGCACCTCGCTACTATCGCCGGGGAGGCCGGACTGGGGACTACCACTCCCAGGAAGCCGTGCGGCGAAATGAGGGCGGGACGACGGCAAGCAGGGCGTCTCAAGCTCGCCTCAAAGGGTTGGGCGACGTCTCAGACGGCAGCAGGTGAACCGTAAAGCGCCCAGGGAACGAAATGCTCCTGGAAGAAGACAAGTGAAGGCAATTGTCCTCCTAAGATTGTGAACGAGATTTAAAAGACGTTTGTTTCACTCATGTCTATGTTTTTAATGCTTAAATTTTTCTTTTTTATGTTTTTCAGTAAATTCAGTCGCTCAGTCGTGTCGGACTCTTTGCGACTCCATGGACTCCAGAAAGCCAAGCCTCCCTGACCATCCCCAACTCCAGGAGTTTACTCAAACTCATGTCCATTGAGTCGGTGATGCCATCCAACCATCTCATCCTCTGTCGTCCCCTTCTCCTCCTGCCTTCAGTCTTTCCCAGCATTAGGATCTTTTCCAATGAGTCAGTTCTTCACATCAGGTGGCCAAAGTATTGGAGTTAAACTTCAGCATCAGTCCTTCCAATGACTATTCAGGACTGGTTTCCTTTAGGATGGACTGGTTGGATCTCCTTGCAGTCCAAGGAACCCTCAAGAGTCTTCTCTAGCACCACAGTTCAAAAGCATCAATTCTTTGGCACTCAGCTTTCTTTATAGTCCAACTCTCACATCCATATATGACTGCTGGAAAAACCATAGCTTTGACTAGATGGACCTTTGTTGGCAAAGTAATGTCTCTGCTTTTTAATATGCTGTCTAGGTTGGTCATAGCATTTCTTCCAAGAAGCAAGCGTCTTAATTTCATGGCTGCAGTCACCACCTGTAGTGATTCTAGAGCCCCCCAAAATAAAGTCAGTCACTGTTTCCATTGTTTCCCTGTTTATTTGCCATGAAGTGATGGGACCGGGTGCCATGATCTTAGTTTTCTGAATGTTAAGTTTTAAGCCAATTTTTTCACTCTCTTTCACTTTCATCAAGAGGCTCTTTAGTTCTTCACTTTCTGCCATAAGGGTGGTATCATCTCATATCTGAGGTTATTGATATTTCTCCCAGCAATCTTGATTCCAGCTTGTGCTTCATCCAGCCTGACATCTCACATGATGTATTCTGCATAGAAGTTAAACAAGCAGGGTGACAATATACAGCCTTGACATACTCCTTTCCTGATTTGGAACCAGTCTATTGTTCCATGTCCAGTTCTAGCTGTTGCTTCTCAACCTGCATACAGATTTCTCAGGAGGCAGGTAAGGTGGCCTGGTATTCCCATCTCTTGAAGAATTTTCCACAGTTTTATGTTTTTAAAGAGTATTAAGTGTGTGTTCATTGATTTATTCTACAGTTTGTTGTTGTTCAGTCCCTAAATTCCCTCCAACTCTGTTACCCCATGGACTGAAGCATGCCTGTCTTTCGTTTTCTCTGGGAGTTTACTCCAACTCATGTCCATGGGGTCAATGATGCCATCCTGACATCTCCTCCTGCCCTCAGTCTTTCCCAGCATCAGGGTCTTTTCCAATGAGTCCGCTGTTCACATCAGGTGGCCAAAGTATTGGAGCTTAAGCTTCAACATCAGTCCTTCCAATGAATATTCAGGGTTGATTTCCTTTAGGATGGACTAGTTTGATCTCCTTGCAGTCCAAGGGACTCTCAAGAGTCTTCTCCAGCACCACAGTTCGAAGTCATTAATTCTTCAGTACTCAACCTTTTTTATTGTCCAGATGTCTCATCCTTACATGACTACTGGAAAAACCATAGCTTTGACTACACGAAACCTTAGATGTTAAAGTGAAGTCTCTGCTTTTTAATACACTAAGTTTTTCTTTCAAGGAGCAAGTGTCTTTTAATTTGATGACTACATTCACCATCCACAGTGATTTTGGATCCCAAGAAAACAAAATCTATTGTTATTTCGCCTTTTCCCACATCTATTTGCCATGAAATGATGGATCCAGATGCCATGATCTTAGTTTTCTGAATGCTGAGTTTAAGCCAGCTTTTTCACTCTCCTCTTTCACTAGCATCAAGAGGCTCTTTAGTTCTTCTTCACTTTCTGCCATTAGAGTGGTGTCATTCTGCATACCTGAGGTTGTTGATATCTCTCCCAGCAATTTTGATTCCAGCTTGTGATTCAACCAGCTCAGCATTTCCTTGATGTATTCTGAATATAAGTTAGAGAAGCAGGGTGGTGATATACAGCCTTGACATATTGCTTTCTCAATTTTGAGCCAGTCTGTTGTTCCATGTCCAGTTCTGATTGTTGTTTCTTTACCTGCATAAAGGTTTATCAGGAGACAATTAAGGTGATCTGGTATTCCCATCCCTTTAAGAATTTTCCACGTGCATGCTAATTTTCCACGTGCTTCAGTCATGTCCGACTCTTCACGGACATGTCCATTGGACATATGGACTGTCCATTCTCCATGCAGGAATATTGTCAGAATTCTCCAGACAGGCATACTAGAGTGGATTGCCATTTCTTCCTCCAGAGGATCTTCCCGACCCAAGGATCGGACCCAGATCTGTTATGTTTCCTGCATTGGCAGGCGGGTTTTTTTTATCACTAACACCACCTCGGAAGTTTGTAATCCACAGTCAAAGGCTTTATTGTAGTCAAAGAAGCAGGAGTAGATGTTTTTCTGGAATTCTCTTGCTTTCCTATGATCTAATGGATGTTGGCAATTTGATCTCTCATTCCTCTGCCTTTTCTAAATCCATCTTGTACATCTGGAAGTTCTCAGTTCACATAGTGCTGAAGCCTAGCTTGAAGTATTTTGATCACTACCTTTGCTAGTATGTGGAATGAGCATAATTGTATGATAGTTTGAACATTCTTTGGCATTGCCTTTCTTTGGAATTGGAATGAAAACAACTTTTCCAGTCCTTTTCCAGTGGCCACTTCTGAGTTTTCCAAATTTGCTGAAATATTGAGTGCAGTACTTTAACAGCATCATATTTTAGGATTTTTAAATAGCTTAGCTATATGACCCATCAATTCAACCCCTAGCTATATGTCCAAGAGAAATGAAATGTATGTCCACAAAGAAACTTGTGCACAAATACTCATAGTTTATTCATAGCTATTACATATAATAGCCCCAAAGTGGAAATAATCCAATTATCAACCCTGAATATTTTGTTTTCCTATGGATAGAAAAACAAGATGCACTATATCTATACAATGGACTATAATTGAGAAAATAATAATAATAATAATGAAGTGCTGATACATGCTACAATATGAATGAAACTTAAAAACATTATGCTAGGGACTTCCCTCATGGTCCAGTGGCTAAGACTTCGTGCTCCCAAAGAAGGGTGCCCGGTCAGGAAACTAGAACCGACAAGCCGAAACCAAAGATCCCCCATGCTGCAACGAACCTGAGTGCCCCAACTAAGTGCAGCCAGATACATAAACTAATATAAAAAACAAGCAAATGAACACCAAAATATTATGCTAAGTGAAACAAGCCAGTCACAAAAGACCAGATATTTATGTGAATCTCTCTGTAGAGGCAGTGACTGCAGCCATGAAACTAAAAGATGATTGCTCCTTGGAAGGAAAGCTGTGACAAACCTAGACACCCCTATTAAAAAGCAGAGACATCACATTGCCAACAAAGGTCCTTATTGTCAAAGTTATGGTCTTTCTAGTAGTCATGTATGGGTGTGAGAGCTGGATCATAAAGAAAGCTGAGCACAGAAGAATTGATACTTTTGAGCTGAAGTGCTGGAGAAGACTCTTGAGAGTCCCTTGGACTGTAAGGAGATCAAACTAGTCAATCCTAGAGAAAATCAACCCTGAATATTCATCAGAACTGATGCTGAAGCTCCAAAACTTTGGCCACCTGATGAGAAGAGCCAGCTCTGGATAAGACCCTGACACTGGGAAAAACTGAAGGCAATAGGAGAAGGAAGCAGCAGAGAATGAGATGGTTAGATAGCATCACTGACTCAGTGGACATGAACCTGAGCAAACTCCGGGAGATAGTGAAGGACAGGGAAGCCTGGCGTGCTACAGTCCATAGGATTGCAAAGAGTCAGACACGACTTAGGGACTGAACAACAACCCTGTAGAGGCAAATCTATAGAGATGAAAAGTACTTGCCTAGGGCTGGGGTGGTTGGAAGGGTGAGGAATGGGAAATGACTGCTTATGGTACAGGATTTCTTTCTTTTTATTGTTTATTTATTTAGATGTGCCTGGTCTTAGTTGTGGCATGCAAGATCCTTAATTGCAGCATGCAAACTCCTAGTTGCAGCATATGGGATCTAGTTCCCCAACTAGTAAATCAAACCCAGGACCCCTGTGTTGGGAGCACAGAGTCTTAGCCACTGAACCACCAGGGAAGTCCCAGGATTTCTTTTTAGAGTGATGAAATGTTCTAAAATTAGTCTGTGGGAATGGTGGTACAACTCTGAATGTACCAAAAACCACTGAATTAGCTACATTAATTGGGTGAATTTTATATCATGTGTATTATGTCTTGATATCTTAAACTGACTAAGCATCAAAATCACTTGGGAGATTTTAATGTAAATTTCTTATTTCTGCCCTAGAAACTGTGATTCACTAGGTCTGGGGTGGAAACCAGGGACCTGCAATATTAATCTCTCCAGATTATCCTGATCCTGGTGGTTCAGAAGCCATACATTAGAAAACATTTCCCTGAAGGCATAGGTTTACAGTACTTTATGTAAAAAAAAAGATGAAAATAGTAACAATAGCAAGCATCTAGTGCTTTGGCTTCCCAGGTGATGCTAGTGGTGAAAAACTTACCTAGCGATGCAGGAGACATAAGAGTTGTGGGTTCATTCCCTGGGTCAGGAAGATCCCTTGGAGGAGGACATGGCAACCCGCTCCAATATTCTTGCCTGGA